AAAAGTAATAATTTATTCACTAGTTCTGAATTTGGTTTTCTTAAACAGGAGCTAAGAGTTTAATGGAGGCATCGCTGTTTTTGCAATATATTATATAATCTAATTAGTATTCATTTTCAAAGAATCCTAAGAAATAGCACCAAACAACTTTTACTTTTCTTCAATTTAGTATAAAAATTTTGAAGCAAATCAATTTAGCCTTTCAGTTCAGTAATGATTCTGACACTAACATTTTATTTTACCTTCTACTTTTTATTTATTTTTTGTAATCACCTTGACAAAAGATGCAGAAAATATGAAAATTTCACTAAAGTTCACTTTGATAATAAATTTTTATTTTGTATTACATATTGTATGCTTCAAAAGAGAAGTTACAAGTTGGAATTAGATTAAATATGAATGTTGTATTCTTTAATAGTTCCTTTTGGGTCACTGAAATGACTGGATTGGTAAAAGGTGATGAAACTAATGATTTATTATGAGGAAACAAACAATAACCCATAATACATCAGATTTGGCATCTGTGAGTAGTGACCAATAGAATCACTGTTATCTTTCAATTTTACTCCTGTATCTGTTGCTTTTCTATCCCCAAGATTATAAACAGGCAGAAAGATTTGTATTATTTCTTATAAGTTGGATAAAGTGGAATTTGGAAGGAAAGGCTGAAATAACTTTGGCCATATGAAATACTTTTCAAATTTGTATCCAGACTTAATTCTGTGGAAGCAGTTCTTAAAACAATATACCGATATTAACAAATTACCTATAAAGAAATTATGTCAAAGTTTAAAATATTATAAAAGTTTTAATTCATGTAGAGAATTATTTCACATTCATCATTCATACAAATTATGATACATGATTTTTGGACACTGGCTAGTTAAAACAGAAAAGACTAATTTTAATTTTTAGTAGTAAAACTTAAACTGGTGTAAATGTTACTGAAAGATTAGAATGAGGTTTTGCTTTACTTGATAGAGCATATTAATACTTATCATGACTTGCTGCAATAAAACAAAAAATTTAATTCCTTTTTTATAAGTTTAATAATATACACAGAAAAAGTATCTGAAAGGATACATTTTGCTAAATTTATCCTAAATTAAAATTATGGACCTGAAGGTCAATATATACTTGAAAACGTTTATTCTGTTGTCAGAGTGTATTAGACTGAATCTCCAGATACGTTTTAACTAGCTGGAAGTCATGGATTATGCTATTTAAACTCCGTTTCCTCATCTAGAAGATGAGGATAATAATAATGTTTACCTCAGTGGTGTTGTGAGGTTTAAATGAGTTACATTATATAAAGACCTTAAAATACTGTCTGGCACATAGTAACCCTAATTAAAAACTGTTAGCCAGTATTTGTAATAGCTTAATGTGTTCAACAAACCTACAAAATCTAAACAAAATGCATCATATTATAAAAATGCATAATTCTATAGATATTTGTGTTTTACCTTAGGGAAGGCAATTCCATTTTAACATTTTTTTCATGTGAGAAAATGTCTTCTTTCTATATATGAGTAACATGAAAGATTGAGATTTATGGGCATGCCTAACTCTTGCAGATTGCATTTCGAATCCAGACTATGTAGCATACTTTTATAGAAAAAATAAATCATTAAAATGTCTTTCATTTTAACAGACAGGTATAGTCCATAGGAGAGATAAAAAGAATCTTTCTGAGAAAACAGTGAAAGTAAAAGGACAAAATCCATATAATCAGTCAACTGACTCAGAGTGCCCTTGTCATCAAATTTAAAATTATTTCACACAAAGACTTATAAATTAACACTGTTGTAAACCTAACTTAAATGAGATTTACTTTAGAATGGAACATTAAAATATCTTCAGCTTTCAATTCTTCATAATTTATGTTATGTCATTGAATATATTTTACTAAGCAATTGAAACATGTAATAAATAAATCCTACTAATATAAATGGGATTATTTCTTATACCAGTGAGTGTTCAACATTTGCTATTAGATAGCTTAGTTTACACTTAATGTGGCAGTATCCTCCAGTTCTTTTTTTCTCCTTCAGTAATGGGAATTAAACTTGGGTGTGCTTTATGGATTGAGCCACATACTTAACCCTTTTTATTTTTTATATTTTGAGACAGGGTCTTGTTGAATTGCCCAGGCTGACCTTTAACTTGGAATCCTCTGCCTCAGCCTCCCAAGTACCTGGGATTATAGTTGGTAACTGAGATTATAAGCATGCATTATCATACCTGGACCATTTTTTTGTTGTTGTTTTCAATTTTTAATTTTTTTTACCCTCAAGATTCAAACATAAAAGAAGGATGTTGAAAAGATGTTTTGAAATAAGCCACCTCTGTTTATTTTTTTGCTGTCAAATCCTATAACGTAACCCATTTGAACTTGTCATCAGGGTGAAACCATGTCACTTCCTTAAGTACTATAATTCTCCCTGTTAACACCTTCCTCTCCTTATTTCTTCCACTATGTCTAATCTTTGATCTTACCAAGAACCCAGTCCATTCTTGAATCCACCTTTTTACTCAGTAAAGACTCCTCAATTCCCTCACCCTCTTGGGTAGGAGATATATGTATTCTTTCCAATATGTGCTTTCTTATTTCTGCTTGGCCACTGAGAATTGCTAGAGAAAATTGTATATCCATGCTGATCAGCACTATTCTAAATTTTGTGTTTTCTGACTTCAGGCTACAGAAGGCTATGTGGCAGACCTCTTATTAGTGCTTGGTTAGCTCAATATCCAATTCCCCCATGAGGCATAGTCCAAGATCGCATGATACAACTAAAAGCCCTACTCCCTACCTGAGTATCTTCCTTTGAGCAGATTACTTTATCTCCACATTTGGAGAGGAGTTATCATTCCTCCCATGTGAATCACTGAAGTAGTTTTCTAACTGGTTTCACTATCATATATTCTTCCACACAGATACATGTACATTTCCAACAGAGAGACTGTTCCAAAACTTACTGTCTGATTATATCATCTTCCTATTAAAATCTACTTGAAGCCCTTCAGCATATTGAGATACAGTGCAAACCCCTGGGCATGATATACTAGGGACTTCATAATTTAGTTCTAGCTTAATTATTTGTCTCATCTATATTACCATGTTGTATTTCTCTAAATTATATGTTTTCTTCATGTCTACATTTGCTGATGCTATTTCTGACACTGCTATGTCAAGGAAGAATGATTCAGTCCTTATATGAACTGATGACTATCATCACTAAAGGGTAATTTAATGACCTAGACTGTCAAGTTATTCATGTGTCATTAATATTAGGAGTAGATGAGGTGAGTCAAAATCTTACTAAGACTCAGGATGAGTTTTTAATTATAAATATAGCTCATAATACTCTCTCTAAAGGTGCTTCTTTATTGTCAGAGGCTGATTACAATGAATTACTATGAAAAAATTTTATCTTACCACCTTACTACCTTGGGAAAATGTTGGAATAGGTTGCAGCCAAATGCTTGTTATGGGTGGGTTTATGGCTATGTCTAACACTTTTAAGTTTTTAGGTCCTTTAAGCAGACTTTGAATGGCTAGCATTTTGAACCATATGGGTCAGATAAAATAGATACCTTTATAACATACCCATTAGTTTCTGCTTTAATATTTTAAAAATGCTATTTTCTTATCTTCTCATCTCTATATTTCCATAAAATATTGACAATTTAAGAGTAGAAGAGTAAATTTTACCCATCTATTTATGATTTACTTATCCATTCATTTCTTTTTTATAATAATATTTTATTTTTAAAATAATCTTTGAAAACTGAGTTGAGATAATTTTAATTCTTAGTGACTAGCATTCTCTAGTCACTAAGAAGATCTGCTTTCTTATACCACTAGATCAATTAAATGGCTTTTCTAAAAATTCAGGCATTTCATTGGAGACAATTAAAACATAAAAATTAGTATTCTATAATGAAGCCTACTGGCACATGCCACTCATTTTCACTTAATTGGGCCACAACCACCTGAATTATGAGATACTAGGGGTAGTACACAATTATGTCAGATATTCTCAATCTAAGACAAGCTCTGATTTTAGAAACTGAGCAATAAAAAGAATAAAAGTTCAGTTAGGTAGGTAAATTAATACATCACAATTCCATTTAAACTGAAAATCAATGGAACAATTCACAATAGAAAATAGAGCAGTCCATTCTTTAAAAAAAAGTGGTAAGGGAGATCTCATGAAAATAGAAGAGAGACTAGTAGAATAGAGGAAGGGGGTTAAAGGGGAGGGAGGAGGGGTAGGGAAAGGGAGGGAGGGTGGAATGAAATTGACCAAACTAGCCTCTGTACATATATAGATATATCACAGTGAATTTTACCTTTATGTATATCTATAAAGCACTAATTAAAAAAAACTATAAATAAAGAGAAGACCAGTAGAGTAGAGGAAATGAAATGGGGGAAGGAGGTGGGGAGGGAAAGGAAAGTACTGAGAAATGTATTAGAGCAAATTACATTCCAAGCTTATACAATTATGTCAAAATAAACTTCAACATTATCTATAACTATAATGCACTAATAAAAAAAATGGAAAAAGGATTCTAGTTTGTTCCTGTTCTATAGTCATAAGAATTTCAACATCATAGACATAATTCTCACCATTTTAACTCCACAAAATGGCACTGTAAATATAATAAAAGGCTCTTGAGAGTTTTTAGTCATGTTTATCTATATGGCCTGTTAGAACACCTGGTTTATGATTACTTTTGTGATTTACTTTTGTGATGATAATGAAGTCTTGCTTATAAAACTTCTGCTGACTGTTAAGTACTATAAAAATCTATATTATGTCTCTTTCCTTCTTTTCAAACCTAAGATACTAAAGGAATTAAAATAGCCCTGCACTTTTTGTAAATAATTTATCAGCTGGTTTAAAGTAGCTAATTTGATGTCAATGATCTTAATATACTAGAAATTTAGTTCTGTATATCATTAATGCATAGGACTTTCTTCCATATTTCAGAAATTGAAGAGTGATTTTATGTCATCAGTGGAAATATTGTTGATGTTTACTAAATTGATCAGGTAATTTGGCTGTCTCATTACATTATCATTGTTGGGGTATATTTATTAAACTTTAAAAACATAAAGGTCATTTATAAACTCACTTAATAAAATGGGGATATTGCTAAATATTAGCTGAAATTGTAAAAGAATATTACATTCTATCTTTATTTTCTATACCATAACTTATCACAAAGCAAATTTTAACACACATAGCTTTCTTTTCCCAACAATATATGGTATTTTATAAGCTACAAACCCATGAAACAGTGTTATTTAATGTGTATTCAGTTTGGGTTCCATGACAATGAAGTGCATGTTACACACCTTATTTAATAGGCACTTGCTCAGTGAATGATAGGCAAATAATTTTTGAAGGGCTAAATCAAGTTTGTTTATTTTTACCATCATGAGAGGTATGAATTCCAATTGTTTCTATAATGTTAACTGTTCAGTTAGAAGAGGGATACCACTGGCCATGTGTGAAAATCTCAAGATGTATCATCAATGTAGCTTAACATCACTTTTTGTTTTATAATTACACATTCTGAAATGTCATCATTTATCCTCTAAAATAATAATAAAGATGATTACCTTAAACAGACATCTTGTTTTTTATAGGCAAGCAGCAGGTATTTAGCCCTAGACATTATAGCAAGATAATATAGAAAACAGAAATATTCAAATGTTGCCCCCAGTTATATTAGCTCTAAAGAGCAGAAATTAGTAGTACAGTTTTATACTACAGAGTATCCCTTATCCCAAGCACTTGGGACCAGAAGTGTTTCAGATTTCATAGTTTTTTTGCGATTTTGGAATTTTTGCATGGACTTTACTGGTTGAATATCCTTCATCTGAAAACCCAAATTTGAAATGTTCTTAATCTAAAATGACCCTATGCAAAAACCCACAAATTTTAAGTTTTGGATTCTGAAGCATTTTGGATTTCAGATCTTCGAATTAGGGATGATCAATTTGTATCAAGGCATTATTACTTTATATAAAAAGCCTTAAATGAAAGGTATGAATTCCAATTGTTTCTATAATTAGAACCTATTATTTATAGGGGATGTGAAATGATAATTCTTAGAAACAACTGAAGGTAGTTGACTAAAGAATATGGCTGATCTAGGACAGGTTTAGGTTTAAAATATAAGCTACTAGAAAATTTTGGTATTCTTATTTCTTTACTCTTACTAATTTACTATCTGCAGGGTTCCCATACTTTATCCTGGCATATTCAGGTATTGACTGAGGATGCATGAACAACGGATTAAAAATCCTGGGTTTGGGGTTGTGGCTCTGTGTTAGAGCACTCACCTTGCACATGTGAGGCGCTGGGTTCAATCCTAAGCACCACATAAAAATAAATAAATAAAATAAAGGTATGTGTCCAACTACAACTAAGAAAAAAAATTAAAAAAAAATCCTGCAAATTATCCTCATGAAGTCACCAAATTTTTATAGTGCTACTTTTCCATTAATTGGTTAATAAAAGTTGGCAAATCAGGTTCTATGAAACCCTCTGAATATTAAAAAAATAAATGATATTACTTGAGCATCATTATTTTCTGTTTAAGTCACTAATAATGCTAACTATAGGATTTAGTGCATTAAAGATGGGATGAATACATGTAATTACTGTATGCATTAAAACCCAGATAATTTAATGCTTCATAAATAGAAAGAAATGAGTAAAACCCTGTCCTAACACTGAACAACAGGGAAGAACTTTTGTGACCCTGGAGACGTAAAAGAGACTATAATAGTTCGGTGGTAGTGAGTGGTACGCGTCTGTAATCTCAGCTACTTGGGAGGCTGCAGTGAGAGGGTCACTTGAGCCCATGAATTTGAGAGCAGCCTGGTCAACACAGTGAGACTCTGTTTTGAAAACAAACAACAACAACAACAATAGCAGCAATATATATATGGGAGGGGTGGGGAGAGAGAAACTAAAACAAACTCATCCTATAATTTTGTCTTTGTTTTTATTTCTCTAACAGTGAGAAGAAAACACAAAGTTGAATATGGACCATACAGGAAAGAAACATGATTTAAAAACTCCAGTAAGACAAATAGAAAATTTTAATGATGAGTGATTTAAAAAAATAAAATTACATTAATATAAACATAAACTGTCTCAATGAGAGAGGGAAAAAGAGATTCAGCTCAAATCAAGGTAGTTACAAGAAATTTACTTAGGAAAAGCTTTAATTTAAAGAAAAATTTTATAAAATATGGAATGAGAGGCCACAAAAAATGAATTAGCAGAGAATAATACCAATTGCTTATACAAATGCTATGAAGGTAAATGTTCAATTGAGGCTTGGGAAAAAATATAAAGAGCTTTTAAAAAATCATAAAAAATGATCTAAGAAGGTAGACATATTGTTTCAATGATATTTAAGGCTTTTTCTGCAAGAAGAAAAGTTTCAAACTAGGACATTACAAAAAGAAACACTTCTGGAGACAAGGGACTAAGAAGTACTCTGTGGTCCCCCTGAACCAGTAGTTTATAATGTTACACAACAAATGAATGTTTTGTACATTATTATAGGGCTATGGTTAGAATACCTTGAGACTTAATGCTTAAGTCTTAACAGAAGAGCTGTTATCCAAAAAACCAAAACCCCAGCATAGGTTCTACAAAGCACAGGCTGATACACCTGATATAAATGCATGGTGAAGTTTTAGAGAAGACTATTGGGATGAGTTTTGATTTTTAATTTTGATTGTAGGATGAATATGGATTCAATCATGGAAATGAAGCATTTTAAACTAGATTTTTTTTGGGGACAGTACCTCCAGGCTGAGAGATAAGTGGAAAGTCATAGTCAGTGTATGTTGCATAAGATGAAACTCTGCATGATACCCTTATGAATAAAGATATTGCAATAAGGACTGAAAGACATTAGGTGGATTCAGATAAACACTTTGAATGACTGAATTAAATTAACATACAAAGTTTTAAATCGAGAACTATAATGCTCTGTCCTTTGCCCCTTTTTCTTTAGAATAATTTCTATAATTTTTTTCCTTAATAAATCAATCAGTTAAAAACAGAAAGGATGCCTAAAATTCTGGAGGACCTGGTAATGGGGAAACCCACTAAACTCAGGACCAGTCATTCCATTTATGGGCAAATGCAGTAATTAGAATCTTCTTTCTCAAATCAATCTACAGTCAGCTTCCTCTACCCTCCATTTATAATGTTCTTTGGAACTTTAAAGACCATCTTATCTTTCCTTCCATAGGACAGCCTTTCAACTACTTGCTCTATATTTTTCTAAATTGCAATTTTAAGATCTAAAACCAGGTAGAAAATTTGTCAGAGGACTGCTTTTGTATATCAATAAGAAAGAACCTTCTAACTAGGTTGTCCAACATGAAATATCCTGCTTTTGGAGGTAGGCACTCCGAGACCCTAAAATATTCAAGCAGAGGTTCAATAACAATTTTTCAAGTATGTAAAATGTGTTTATATTTTGGGTGGGAGGGTGAACATAAATTGTCTTAAAACTCTAGTTCCATAATGAGACAGCTATCATGCCTATTTACATGTAGCATGAAACATTATATGCCTAACTGAATAAAAACAATTTATCCAATAAATGAACCCTTTACCTTAATATAAAGCATTTTCAAATGGGTTCTATAGTGTTACCAGAGAGATACCACCAATAATAACACATTAAAAAAGATGCATGTTATAAATTTAAAGAAACATTCAAAGCTAAGGCTACCTTTTCATTTAATTATTCAGCAAAGTGTTTCAGCATTAGTGCAAAATTATTTTTGGAAGGGTAAACATCTTTCCAACCTCTAGTGCTGGGGCAAAATCCTTCTAATTAAGTTAATAAAACCCCATCATGAATCTCAGAACCCAATATGCTAAATAAAGAGGAGGCTGCCCAGCAACTACATAGTGTGTAAAAAAAGACAATAGAGTTCAAAGTGAGGGGTGGGGTTTATTGTCAGAGTTGCAAGATTGCATTAAAGCCACACTGATTTCAAGTTGTCTCTCCTTCCTTTTTTTTTTTTTTTTTTAAGAAAGGGATATAAACTCATGTGTGTTAGCATTGTTAAAAAGCATTAAGAAAACAGCAGAAATGGTGGTAGTGGTGGTGGTGTAAAATTCAAGTTCTGTGATATCAAAGGCTATTTTCTCTCACCTAGAATCCCAAGGTATACGCTTTTAAATGTCTGTTTCATAAGTCACAGAATATACTCTAAAATTAGTTTATGGAGTTGTAGTGGGGCAAAAATAACAAAAATATCAAGGAAAAGAATATAGCAAAAAAAAAAAAACCCAAAAAAGTCATGGGTGAGAAAATTAAGAAGTCTTAAAAGAACAGATCTTGAATAGAAGTCAATAGATTCTATGGATGATTTATAAAAATAAAAAGAGCATAATAAGAATATCAGACTTGAAATCATGGAAGATAGGGATTGTAAGCATAGAGCAATGTTAAAAACAAGACTTGAAATGTTAAGGTTCAAACTTCCCTAAGACAGACATTCAAAATATAGTACAATTTTCATTATTTGGCACTCTGCTAACATTCCCTATGTTAATTTTTATGTGTTTGTTTGTTTTTTGGGTACCAGGGATTGAACTCAGGGGCATTCAACCACTGAGTCACATCTGCGGCCCTATTTTGTATTTTATTTAGAGACAGGGTCTCATGGAATTGCTTAGCACCTTGCTTTTGCTGAAGCTGGCTTTGAACTCACTATCTTCCCCAGCTGCTGGGATTACAGGAGTGCATCACTGCTCCTGATGTTAATGTTTTTTTTTGTTTGTTTTTTTTTCCGGATAGTTAAATTCCATGATGGTTATAAAATTAGGAAGCATTTTCTTAAAGAAATATTAATCTATGGTCAGTATAATATGATGTTCACTTCACGTTTTTGACATTTGATTAGTGGTAATCAGAACAGCTGAGTGACTTGAATGCTTATTCCTAAACCAAAGCTTAAGGAATGAGCCAAATCAGAAATAGCTCTTCAAGTGATCTCATATCTGATTCTAACCAGTCTTGTAAATGTTATGTAAGTGATAAGTACCTTAAAATGAAAACAGAATATCATGTTCCATCTAAAACAATTATAAATTGGTTACTAGGAAAAATTATTGTAACATTAAAGTAACAAAGATGCTACATATTTTGCATTATTTGCTGTTTCATGTTATCAAAAAGAAAGATCTATCTTATTTCTTAAAGATAATTTACAAATTTCTGTTGTAAGTAGACTTATGGAATAGCTAAGTATACTTCTAATATGACACCTAGCATGTAGTAAATAAATGCCTATTAAATGAATGAATACATACTTCAAACTAACTGGATGATATGTTGATACAGTAAATCATAAATAAAATACAGAAATTTAGTTTACATTTCAGTAGGATACATCTAAATATTGAAATGTCATAGCACCTATGATAGAGATATTAAATAATTCATAGCTCTGAAATGAATAAAAATTTGATAACTGAAACTGTTATTTTTAAGTATTCTAAAATTTCTGTAAAAGAACCCAGAAAGTTGATTTTTTTGTGTGTGTGTGGTTCTGGAGATTTTATTTTAAAAGTAAAAGTTTTAAAAAGGGGGCTGGAGATGTAGCTCTCCACATTGCCTAGCATGTGTGAAGCCTTGGGCTCAATTCCCAGTACCATAAACAAAATATATACAATTGGCACTTTTTCCTTATTGACACATTACTTGTGAGTATTGTCCCATTAATGGAAAAACTTCAAAATATAACATATTAAGCTATTAAGACCAGATATTTGGCCAAGATGTGCTTGTGGCTAAACATAAAAAGTCTGAGTGACCAGAGTAATGGAACTAGTGAGAAAACTAAAAAAATAAGAGAGAAAGATTTTTAATAGAAGGTTTAATGTTTAAAAACTTGAAGCCAAAATCCAAAGGCAAATTGATTGCCAGATAAGGGACTCTGAAACCATTTGTGAGTTTTGCTTTTTGGCTTTTTAAGAATATACTTGCAATGTTTTATTTTGTTTTTTCTTTCCTTTAGCTAACTGATAGACTCTAGCTTAGTTGTTGTCATCACAGAACTTTGGAATAAGCTTATAGTACTGAAAGATCTCCATAAAGAAAGCAAAAATTTATATGACATTGAAGACTTAAGCAAGAAGTTAGGAGAACTTCTGATGTATGAGTCTAGGGGATGTGTGTGTGGAGGTGTATATAAGAGTGCACAACAGTCATTGCCCTTTTTTCTCATGTTCCTGTCCATCATTTTTGAAAAGGCTAACTACTGCATTTTCTAGAGTATGGGACTGAGGCTGGGTTCTGAAGTGGTAAGTTATCTCACAACATTGCTATTTTTATTATAAACTATTTGCATCAAAAAATTTCAGAGAAAAAATAAATCAACTAGGTCATGCTTCACCCCCTTACTCACACTGAATCACAGGAAAAAGATATATGAGGAAAATGAATTTATGTAGTTGTATATGGACAGCATTCCTTTGTTTATTTTTATGTGGTGCTGAGGATTGAACCTAGGGCCTTCACATGTGTTAGGCAAGTGCTCTACCACTGAGCCACAACCTCAGCCCCCATAATTAACTTTTGACAGTAATCTTTGGAGGGTCAGAAGGTGAGAGGGTTTCTTTGTACTTTTATAATTGTATTATATACATATTATATATTCCTTTCTTTTGCAACAAGCACGCTATTATTACGAATTAAACAGCAAAAGAAAAATGGGGAAATTTATAAAATTTCCAATACATGTTGCATGGTACAATCCTATTATATCTGAACATGCTATCTCCTAGCAGGTGGTAATCATAAGTGGTGAATTTTCTATGACAAGGAACAAATATGAGGCATTTGGGACCATCAGCTTTCTGTGGCAAGGGTGAACAAAGCAAAAGGAGAATGAAGTTAGGATAGGTTCTTATATAATATGCTATAAGGTATGTCACTGAGAAACTGTCAATAAACTATTACTGAACTGAAAAAAAGTGATTTGCTTTTTTGATGTGTGAAAATAGGAACAGATAACAGTATGGCTAAATCTGATCTTCTGTCTTGGTAAAAAAAATGTAAATTATAACTTGTCTTACCTATGCTAGGGAGGGACTGTTATCCTTTTATATGAGCTTTAATTCTTATTTAGCCACATTTTCTGCTGGTGTGATTATAGCATATAGCATCTAGAATTTTTCTTTTACCATTAATATCTGGGTTCATTACTTATCAACAGTTCTGAGATTATTTTTCTGACTGAGGCAGGGCTATTGGTTATTTGCTAAAGTACAAAGTTGCAATTTTAACACTTTTTAAAAACTAATTAAGATGAAGCTAGGTGATGGACGACTTCCAAGGGAGAACTAAGGCTGTGAACCAAACATTGGTAGTGAGTTGAGTCACCCTTCTTTCCACAGGGAAAAGATTTTGGTAGGAAGAACAAACAACCTATGGACGCTGGAAGATCTGGCTTCTAACTGGTTCATGACAATGAACTAATCATTTCAGATGTCATATTTTTGTGGCCTTCATCTTTGAAATTGGAGTAAAATAGTACAATTATTTCAACTATAGAGAATATGACTATAAAAGAGCCACAATACAAAGATTAGTAATTCTAATTATTAGCATCTCAGCACAAAGAGGGTATGCTGAGCACATACAGTCCTGGCTAGCCGTTTCCAAAATACCTAAAATTAAGAATTCTGCAATGTTTTGATTCCTGTTTTATGTTGCATAATGGATAAACAATAACTTTAGCTCTATTATATAATAAAATAGATAAGAAATTAGGAAGAAAGGGGGTTAGCTATTATACTTTCATTCACTTATTCACTCAGTACTGTCTGGCCTACTTTAGGTTATATATTATTTTAGGCCTTGGGTATAAGACAGGAATAAAACCCCTGCTCTTAAGAAGCTTATATTATGGTGGGTAGAGGGTAGAGATGGAAAATAAACCAGTGAATAATATTTGATATTATATATATATAGTGATAAAGCTGGGAAAAATATAAAGCAGAATACCATACCAAAGCACAAATGGTGGTGATGGTGGTGAGGGGTTGCATCTGGATCACACTGGGTTGTGAGGGAAGGACTCTAATGGGAAGATATTTGAACTGAGACTAGAATGGCATGATCTATAAATAACTATTTAAATAAATACATATTATAAGGTGATTTACATTAGGAATACAAGTTTCTTTTGAGTTCCCATATATCCAAAGTCAAAAAGGAAAGGAGTAGTGATAAGAAAGTGAAACAAGTGACATTTCTAATTCAGTTTGTAGACAACAGCTAATGTACAAAATTGCTGTTCTTTCATCATTTTTATCTATAAAAACAGTCATTCACATAGTTTAAGTCAATGTCTGAAACTAAGCAATGATAGGTCATGTAGTCAAGTAAACATTAGTGAGGTTTGCCAGGCCTAATAGTTATTTAAGTATTGTAACTGCCCTCTTTGCCTAAATTCAAATCTACATAAAATCTACATACAACCACATAATTATAACACTTGTTGGATGATTTACAATGTGTCAGATATGGACACTAAGTGCTCTCTGGCATTGCCTCATTTAGTCCTCACACAACCTCAAATGGTAGGTACTATTACCATCTGATTTAACAATGAAGATATTGAGGTATAGAGGTATTAAATAACTTGATCATTCATCCCACTTGTAAGTGGCAGAGTGACAAAGCAAGAATTTAAACTGAGGAATGTCTTCAGAGATTGTACTCTAAGCTATGATAATTTATTGTTTATAGAAAACATACTTTTTCATTTATAAGGCAACAATAATTATATCAAACATGTTATATTTTCAGGGTTACATAATATTCACCTTTTAAAAATATATCTAGTATTTTAGTAGCACCAAGACTTTGAAATGAGGTGACATGATCTGGGGCATGTGCTTGCATGTACATATTAAAAAAAATGAGACAATGCTTAAACAAATATACTTAAAGACATAAAAATACACAACAATAGAGCTCCTCATACAGAAAGTAATGACAAAACGTTTTAGTACATTTATTTTATGACCTTGTGAATGGTTCAAGTGTAATCTAAACTATTAGTAATCATTCAATTTCCCTTGACATATAGGCATGGTCATATGGAACAACCCTGGCCAGTGATATCTGGGAATACGCCTGCTGGAGGGATCTAGACAAAGTTGCCCTTGATGTTACAAAAAGGACTAATAATAAAGTCTGGTCTTTGGCTTTTTGGATGCTGTCTTATGAGAAATGATGTGTGGAACTGTTGGCATTAAAAAACTTAACTGAGATTTCTGACATTTAGAGAGCCATGAAATTTACCCTAGAATAGTCCCATCTCTGAACTTCCTATAAGTTAATGACTTTCCTCATCAATTGAGAGAGGTGTGATTTAAAAAATCCAGACTCTAAGCAATATAAGAATTATATCAAATCCTCTGTGTTTAATGGCTCTCTAACAGTAATTTTTTCAAAATGACAATATGATATTAAGAGAATATTTACTGCTTTCTAGATTTTTTTCTGCATTTTTCTTTATATATATGTTAATTACATAACTAGTCAAGGATGGCACCTTAAACTTCATAAAAGTGACATATTTAAGGTTTTCTGCCATTTATTCTGACTTTATCACATGCCTTTTTATTCCCATTGTTATATCCCTCTTCATTCATGTACTCCCTTTAAACTTGAACTAGAGTTTTAGATATTATTGATTATACTCTTCCAATTTCTTTGTATTGTGTACAGTTTACTTTGAAAATAAAAAAAATGATGAAAAGTGCTGCAGTATTTTTATTTATTTTCAACTTGTTCATTACCCCCTTCAACAGTTTCATATTCTGAGAATATGAAACTTATCCTTGCCCATACATCTCCTATCTGAATGTTGTTAAAAATAAAATTCATGGATTTTTAGAAAATTTTCAGGAAATTACTCTAGGACCATTTACAATGATTCAAGTGGATTAATGTATGTTTTTCTGCACCATATTGGCCGTCATAATTATCCAGCCTCTTTGCCTAGATAATTTCAGATATTAGGATACTGAATATTAGCTCCTAAGTTATCAGTGGTATTCAAAGAATGTTAGATTTTGAAATATCACTTTAAAATATATTTCTCAGCAGATATTATTTTGAGAACATTAGCAATAGTTTATCCAGGTAACCAAATGTGTCTAGCAGCTACAAAGTAATAGATTTATCCCTCTCTAACCCCTCAAAAAAGACCTAGATTTTGCTTTAAATTGCTAAGCCCAAGCTAAATATCTACATAAATTAAGTGAGAAGACTGGTAGGTAATCTCCAAGGCAATGGGAAAAGAGAAAATTATAACTTCATTGAGTAAACGAAGACACCAAGAATGTATGGCTAGAAAAGAGTACCCTTATAACTGCCAAGGGGCACATCAGTAGGATTAAGGGATAAAGCTTTTGAAAAACTCATCTAAATTGCCTATTATGGCAAGGGAAAGAGAGAGATATTAAGACAACTTCAAGTTGTATTAACCAAAATAGTATTTTAGTGTTATGGCAGATGATTTCTAAATGAAACATATCTTTTTATTTTGTCTTATACTTTTATGATTTTTATCCCTTGAAAGTTGCATAGGCTGACATAATTAATAATTTAACAAAGGTATTATAAGGCCTACACCTCAATAGCTTTGAAACTGCTAATTGGGATAATAGGAAATTACTTGTCTTTTCCCAAATGCCAGTGAAGTAGGTCAAGATAATTAATATGCAAGCTGACTTTTCAGTCAAAGGAAAACAAGAGAAGTCTCATCTGTGTACTTTTAGTACCATCCATTTCAGACTAAAATGAGTTCAGCCTGAGAAAAATCACAGTATGACTCAGTTAAATAATTGAATTTTTAAATAAGACAAAAGATAGTTCAACCATGAGAACACAGATTGAAGTCTGTTTAAGGAGGACTAAATTTACACTTCATAAGCACAGCCAAATTCCACATCCATAAGGAAACTGAAAAACATCCAGGGCATCATTTTAGGTATATCTTGCTTCTTAGATTATTTGTAAACTTGTAAGCACCATATAATATGTGCCATATTATATAAGGTAAGATGAAATATAAATGATAATAAATGGCTTTGGTTGATGACATAATTCTTCATCCTTAAGGTATAAGAAGGCCATATTTTTAGGTTCTCTTCCATTACTCCTTTTGCCCACTTGCTTGATGGTTCCTATTTTTAACTTTATGGCAAACTGAGAAAAATGTTTGAAGCTAGAGACATTAAACTTATTACCTCTGTATGTTTGTACTTGAGTACAAATTTACTTTAGTAGGGTCAAATCGAATGCTGGCCTTGAGCAGGACAGTTAGTAACACACTGCTGTTAGACCTTGATTTTTTTTAAGTACCAGTTTCCTGCCAACCTGTGTGGTGGCACAGTGAGTGCACTGCACTGGAGAGAGTGCATGTAAGTCTGAGGCTGATGTAATGGCCACAACTTCATTCCTGTGTATAAGTTTTGCTCTACTGGAATAACACCAAGCAGCCTGATTTGAATAAGCAGCCTGCTCATTTACTCCTAATGGCCAATCCAGGTGAGTCAATACTATGGCACCCTTAAACTAGACCTTAGTCTTTTGAAAACACTGATTATAAACGTACTGGTTCGCAAATGAAAAGTTCATCAAATTGTATACTCCTGAATATTAGAAATAACAATGCAAAACCATGATTAGAAAGGCGAACATGCATTTCATCAAATAAGAAACATCTTCCAGGCAAGCATGAAATGCAACTCTGCTGAGAACAGTTTGAAATACACTGAGACATCAAGAGGCACAATTTATGGAAAAATACCCAGAAAGCAATGGGGCCTCAACAATAGTGCACAGTCACTTCCAAAAAAGCTGAACTGACTGAAATAGCAAGAATTGTCCCATAATATTGAATTGTAAAGAAAAATGTGCAATACCAAATTTACTGACACACTTACTATGGCTATTCTACCTTATCACATTTATTCTGCAAAGAGAACCCACTAAAAATGATGGACAGTACCAAATAACTACTCACTTAATTCACCTGGAACCTGAAAAAAATCCTCACCTACTTAGGGGTGCACCTGTATGGCTAACAATCTATCTAATCTACAAAACAATAAAAAAGAGGCTCTAGAAGAAATTGAAAGCTATCTAAATAGAGATGCTCTGTGGGCTACTGGAATTTGGAAGGAATGGCAGGTATGGTGCCATGTTTTCCTTTTGTGTCCTAGATATATTTGCTTCTAGTCCTTTCCAACACAATGACCAGGATGAATGGCTAAATACCTCACTTATTCATAAAAAAGATGGCATCGGTGACTCTGCTTGTAGGAATGATGGAATGTTTTCTAAACAGAATTCTCTATTTCAGGGGGCTGTGCTAGTTTCAACACAGTTTAACACAGCTGAGATAAAGTATTTTATACAATATTTTTAGAGTTAACAAACCTCACATACTTAGTCATAGCCATTATGCAGCAACTGGATGACAACTGAAATAAAATTTTGAATTCAATTTTAGAAAGCAGTTCATTGATTTTGTAAACATTAGAATATTAAATATGTATTATTGCCAGAACTCCTATAGAGGCCTAGCATGACTCCTAAATATTTTTTACAAGAGTCTTCCATAATCTCTGATAGATGTGAATGTTGGGAAGGCTTGGCAGGTAGTAGATGGTAATTACTTTTTTAAAAAGAATTAGCACATTACTTTTTAAATTTATTTTTTAATGTGGTACTGAGGATTGAACCCAGTGCCTCATGCATGCGAGGCAAACGCTCTACCACTGAGCTACAACCCCAGCCTGGTAATTACTTTTTCTACACCAATAGTATACTTTTTATAATATTTCTCATGGATATGATGGCTAAAATATATTTCTCATGGAAAGTACCTAAGCCTGTAAATTTTATTACAAGCAATTCTTGTACTTGTTGTAGAAGATATAAAATCCCCATTAAATAATACAATGCAAGATCCATACCATAAAAGAAGGTCTACTACATTTTCTTGTCAATAATCTTCAAAGTGGCTCTCATATTAAAGGAGTCAAGCTTCACATTAACATGAGGCTTTTGCCTTATTGGTAATTTGAGAGCTTTGAGTTGTTTTTTCCAATTACAATGAAGAACTAACATGAAGTCCTTCGTACTTGTAAAATGGGTTAAAGGCTATTTTCTGTTTGTATCCATCAAAAAAGAGAAGTCTAATGCCCTAAGGGAACCAAATGAGTAACTCATTTCATAACCACTGGCTCTAATCATCTACACTAATCGGCTCAGATTGCATTTTGAATAGAGATGCAAGTGGTAGCATATTTCTCTTACACATTCAGGATTTATAGCCAAACCTAGATTTTCTAACAAAAACAACTGAGTTATACCCTTAAACTAACCTGAGTTTCTGGAGCAGTGTATGATGTTAGGTATAAACAGATGCTTGGTATAGCATACTGGATAAAGAACTTGATACTTGGGAAACATAATCTTAATCTCAACAAGACAGAGGGTTACTTGATTGGCTTCTCTCTCTTCAGAGTTGAGTTCATATAAATTGAGCATTGTAATCAACATATATACCAAGAAAGCACATGGATGCTTTTGGTAAATTGGTTTCTAGAAAGAAATACAACTATTTGGAGTTGACAGAAATGCTATGTGACATCTCTCCTTGGAAAAATTGTCTTTTGCACTTTTCCTTTAAATCTGATAGTGAAAAAGGAAGATATATACATGTGTAGGTATGGTTGGGTGTATATGTGCATAAGTATTTACTTATTTAACCAGGGCTCTACTAACATCCTGTTTGAAGCATTTATAGTTTCTTAACCCAAACTCAGGGGGTAATCAGTGTGGACCAATGGGATGATGCATGCAAGTGAGAAGAAACAGGGTAAGAGAAGGAAGAAAAAGAAATGAATACTATTAACCTTAAAAGGCAATAGGTAGTTGGGAGAAAAAAATTTTTTGCTCCATCTCTGTGTGTCCTGGGATAAAACTTCATTCTTCATTATATATAATTTTTCCCAAAGTTACTTAAGTTATGGAAGTAGGACATGAAGGGGGACCTGACTTCTTTTTCAGCAAGATCATTATTTTAAGAAAAAGGGAAACAATTCTATTTTCCTCAAACAACAAGTTTGAAAAGTTTAGGCCTTTGTATACACAGGCTAAGAATCTCCATAAACATACTTACTTTTTTCTCCTATGTTTTCCCCTGCTGCTTCCCCTTCTTCCTCCTCTTCTTCCTCCTCTTCCTCCACCTCTGGGGGTTGCACATCATCCTGTGGGTCACAGGCACTAACCGGAGCATTCAGACAGCAGTGGTTGAACCCACTATCTCGAGGCAGAGTAAAACTTCGAGGCTTGCCCCCATTGCCATTTAGCACTTGCATCCTCTCACTCTCGGCCAAGGGGTATGGCCCATAGTGATCCTGTAGGTGGCACTTCTGAGTTGGAAGGGTGGATTGCCGCCTGTGCTCAGGGGAGATGGCTGCAGAATCAGAGAAGACGGAATCCTCCAGGGGCAGAGTCTGAAGATAGTGTAAGCCTGAACTTGTTAGTGGTGTCTCAATTAAATCCTGCCAGGAGCGGCGCTGACTGGCTGTCTTGCGAATGGGGGACACTGCACTGCTCCCGGTTACCTCCTGGCGAAACTCCTCATGAGAAGACTGAGACTGAGAGGTCTCTGTGGAGGAAAGCCGGCTGTGTTTTGCTTCCACATAAGGACTGGCACAACTCATCTGTGGAAAAGAGCCTCTGATCAATCTCCACAGAAATAAAAGACCACTTGGAGCACCAAGGAACACTTTAGAATTTTACCAAGGAATATTTAAGTGAATAGATTCTTACACTGTCATGTAATTACTAAGAAAATTGGTAGATATCCCAAGGTTAGGCCCCAACTTATAGTTTAAGAGACAGACTTGTATGTCTTAACATGGAGCTATACAAGGTTCTTATGAAAAATCTGACATTTCAACGGAAAATTTCACCATAATGAAAGTATGAGAAAATGTGAGTGAGAAATATTCAGCAACTAAAACAAACACAGTTTTAAAATATACATTTGGAAATCCTGAAGTTTTGTCTGAAGATTCACATTTTTGGATTTTATGTAGCTTGGGGGTGAAGGCAAGGAGAGAGGCTTTTGGGTATAAGAACATGTTGCCCATAAACAGACTATACACTTCCTCTTCTTCACAGATGAAATGTCTGTTCCTATGGGTGCCACAGAAAAGATGTCTTATTTTCTATGGAGTTAAAAATGTAGGCAGGATGAGATTATACCTTGTTGGGGATTAGCATTTGCCTTGAATATAGACAATATATGGTAAATAAGCTCAAAATAAAAATGAAATATTTTTTATTTGTGGTGTTTAAAGTTTCAGAATTCTGGAGCATCATATAAACATGTATATTAAACAGACCCCATTGTTATCAAAAAAGCTATATGCCAAACATTATAAATAAATAAATAAATAATTTTTTTTTTTGGTGGTGCTGGGGATCAAATCCAACCCAGGGCTTTACACATGTTAGGCAAGTGCTCTGTCACTGAGCTATACCCCAAATCTATAATACTATTTTCTATCAGTTACTTGTAAAGGATATAAAAATGAACTTCACTAGTGTATAGTAGATAAGGTCAATTTTATATCTTTTGTTAAGAAAACTTTTTTTGTGTTGATATCTCCATGAATGCTACTCTGACACAGTGTATGCTCTTAATAAAATTGGTCACATATTCTTCCTTCCTGGAATTTCTGGCAATGTTTTTTCTTTGTAAATTTGTTGGCAGTCAACCACTGAACCACATCCCTGGCCTTTTATTATATTTTATTTAGAGACAGGGTCTTGCTGAGTTGCTAAGTGCCTTGCTAAGTTGCTGAGGCTGGCTTTGAACTCTCAAGCCTCCTGTCTCAGCCTCCCAAGCTGTAGGGATTACAGGCATGTGCCACCATGCCTGGCTCTTTGCAAACTTAAAACTATTTTCCTTACTGATTTTAGACCCTCTTTTTTTCATTTTTCCAAAGAAACCCAAAGGTTGACATGAAATTTGCTACACAATTTTTAAACATATAAAGAGATGTTTCTTGTCGAAGAATCTGGTGATATATTAAGTATACTTGTATTGTTAACTTACAGAAGGAGGCCGTGGGTATGTGTCATAGGGTGGAGGAGGACTGTCTTGTTTTGGTGTTGATGGAGTATCTGCTTCTTCCTTGTCACTCTCACTCCAGTAATCTGGAAATTCACACACATGGATATATGGACATTCTATTAAATGTTTCTAATTATATTTTTCAGAAATGTACCTTACCATTTAACAGAAAGAAATTTAAATTCCATTCCAATACCATACTCCTGAGCACTCCCCTACCCTAGTCATCAACTTCCATTTGTTGGGTTTTGAAGAGGAAGGAAGAGCAAAATTACCTAATTCTAACCTGCTTTCAAAGCAAGTGTTTAGACACAGCCATCATTAATGGATTTAAGAAAAGACACTCTGTAAGCCAAATCAGGTTTAGTGTGCCTTTGCATCTAGACAAAATTATTATGAAGCTTCAATTAATAATTGATATTACATGATACTTCTTCAAAGGTTTATCATTTTATTTTAGAGATTAATACTCAAAGAAAAGCAATACATATACTGTTGTGGATCTCTACAGATATAAACAGCTCCAAAAATAATGTTCTCAATTCTTTTCTTTGGCTTCAATTCACTGGTTATCTAACTATCACTGTTTTTAGAGTCATGCTGACATGAATCCGTAACACCACACTCCCACCTCTCTTTGGAAACACATGGCAAGCCCTGATCCTTGCCAAATGGAAATGGGCAAATCTACTGATGTGGTTACAGTTCCAAACTTCCAGAACGATTTAAAAGGGTAGAAAACGTAAGCCACTAGAGAAAGTGACTTGGCAGACCTCAAACAAAAGGGAAAGAGAACAATTCTCTGAGCTATACATTAGTAAAGTTAAATCAAATGCAGCAACAAAGTCAATAATCAGAAACTATTCCACTAATATCTCAGCCACCCTATAGCTGATGGGGTAATTCTTTTGTGATTTATCAGAAAAAACCAGAAGTGTTACCCATGTCAATTTCAGATAATAAGAATCAGCCACCCCATAACTGATGGGTTAATGTTTTGTGATTTACTGGGGAAAAAACCCAAAGTGTTACCCGTGTCAATTTCAGATACTAAGAGAACAGGCATTAAAACAAAAAGATTCCTTAATATCATGAAAATTTAAATCATAAAAAATTCCAAGGTTTAACTAATATTCAGATTTAGGTGAAAAGTCACAGTATCCTTTTTTTTCCATAGAAACCCTTCTCTTCCCAGGAATTCTCACATTATAATATTTTCATATATATTTTCCCTCTGGTGCTCATTAATAAAAATAAGTACAGCTAACATTTATTGAGAAATTATTGTGTGTTAATAGAAGTAATGATTTGAACCAGGAAATTGCCTTGCCTTAAAACTCCAAGGACTGTTTCTGAGACTCTTTCATTTAATATAGTAGAAGAGTTTGCTAGGGAGTATACTGATAATCATTTAAATGCTCTACCCCCTTCTGATTTATAACTCTGACCACTACAAATAGCAATGAAGACTGGGAATAAAAGATGTCCATTATATTCAGGCTTTAAAACATAAGGACACTGACAATTCTATTTCTATCTTAATTTTTCCTTTGAATAAAAGGTAGGAAATGACTAGTTAATCTAAATTTTATATCTGTTTTTTACCATTAAAAAACAATGGAAATAATGGCCAGTGCCAGCCAGTATACTAAGTCTTCCTTCAAAAATGCCCAGAAATTTTTGCCCAGAAATAGGACCAGCAAACACTGGTGGAAAAAGCATAACCTATATACTCAGGCAGGTATAGGTTGAATTCTTGGCTAGACACTTATTTTTTAAAAATTTGTTCTTATTAGTTGTACATGATATTTGACATATTATACATACATGGGGCATAACTTCCCATTCTTCTGGTTGTTCAAGTGGAATTACATTGTTCATGTATTCATAATGCACATAGGAAAGTAATATCTGATACATTCTACTATCTTTCCTATTCCCATTCTCCCTCCCTTCCCTTCATCTCCCTTTGTCTAATCCAAAGTACTTCTAATCTTCCCTAAGTTTGCTTATAATCTATAAAATGGGGTCTAATAATAACTTTCCCTTTAGAGTTGTGTGTCAGGGATACTGAATAAGATAATGTAAATTCAAGTGCCTTGTACCTTGAGGACTCTCAACATATATTAGGTCCCTTTATTTTTTTAGATGTATTTGAAGGTAGCATGCCAGGACAGTCTGAGCCAGATTATACAGGTGATAAATGCCTGGTGGTCATCTTCTCAGGCATTGCTGTCTTTTTTTTTTCCTTATAGCAAGTTCCAGTGATGAAAACTAAAATCTGGAGCCCTGGGTTATGGGAGGATGGTTTTATGAGAGCCTGAAATCCAACTGGAAAGTCAGTGCTAGAGGTGAAGGGAGTGAGCAACCCTTCCACACAAAGCAGTGGGCTTGCCAAGATCACTCCACCCTTCCCACTATTCCAGGAACTCTGGCTCAATTTCTCCTTGATGTTTACCTTGATACCTTGAAGCCTTAAGGAGAAAATATCTCAAGTGGTCCTTATTAGTACACTGAAGAGGAGATGATCAGCATTTTATCCAGGGCTCTATAGCTGTCATTATGAGTGACAAAGATTTCAGGAAGTTCCCTCTCTACTTTTTCTCTTCAGCTAAATTAGGAAGAATTCTAATCCACTATTTCATATAATTCTTGGTTTATTAAGAAGCATCACTGATCTAAACTTTTCTTGGGTGCCTTAGAAAAGGCTGAAATACCACTTTGCAAGTTAACTTCTTTTCTTACACTAAGTGGTGTGTGTTTGAGAGAGCAATTCCAGAGAAGAAGCTACACAGAAAATTTAGTTAGTCTTTTTGTGTTTGTGTGGAAAATCAGGAGCATACCATAGCATAAAGGCTTAAACTAGTCTGATTTTTATTCTAGGATAAATTATCTTTGTAGCTTTCTACATAGCATCAAATAAATGGATATTTCAACATCCTTACAATGACATATAATTTTATAAATAATCATGAATAAACAGTGACATCACTAGAAGAGGAAAACTTCCACTTTACTTTTGCATGTTGACATAAAAGGATAATTTTAAATTGAAATTTTCATTTAAAACTATCAAAGAAACATATTTCATTCATTTTTATGTGGTCAAATAATTATGAATACCTTATATATGACTGAAAACTATCTGACTTGAAGCTGGAAAAAAATGGAAAAATTACCAACAAATCATGATTAGCCAAATTGTTATTTTGGTTGAATTTAGTGTAACCCTGTTTTCTCTTAACTACAAATATGAGTACTCAAAGAAAACCCTACAGCCTTCACATTTTTGTAAGTAAAGACAAATTCATTAAACTTTAAGTTAATAAAGAGTCACGTAAAAGTTACACTAGATATTTAAATAGAAAAAGTGGCAGTTGTTTCTTTGCATCTTGGTGAAATATTTCTAAACTTCAAGGAGCTATATTTTATTTTAAAAATTTAATATAAATATTTATTTAAAATATTAATAGAAATATAAAATCAAAATTATACATATTTATAGGTTGCCTCGCGATGTTTCAAATACATATGTGTGTGTATGTAATGTTTAAATAAGGTTAAACATCTACCTCTTCAAACATCATTTCTTTAGAATAAAATATTTAAACTCCTTTCTTCTAGCTTTTTGAAATATTCAATATCATTATCTACAGTCTTCCTACTGTACAATAGCATACCCAACTTATTTCTATCTAACTATAATAGTACCTATTAATCATCCTCTACCTCAATTCTGCACATCCTCTGGCAGTTACCACTCTACTCTCAACTACAAAAGAGCTGTATTTTGTATGAAGCTTAACTTCAATACTGAGAATGGTAATCAGGTGTTAGCTATCAAATTACTACAGAAGTGTGGAGTAGACATGTGCATGTATTAGTTTTCTATGTACAATATCATGATACCCTAATTATGAATAAGACAGGGAGTCTACTATGGTTCTGACATATGTTAAAGTACCTTAGGACCATATACTTTATGTGAAAATTGAAATTACTTCAAAGATTCTGGTCGTACTGCATTAGCAAAAAAAGACTTAAATTGTAACTCTTAGCTTCTGCCTATAATTTCTACCACACTTCAGTAGGCATTAAAATATATACTTACATGATTGATCAGGGCAGCATGAACCCACAGAATACTTTTTGTAACCTGTGTATGTAATATAACTTACCAGATCTTTCATTTTTAATGAAATTTGGTTATATAAATACTGAATACAAAGAAAATCCACTGAAATAAAGACTATGCTCAGCTTTAAATAATGTCCAATAATAAAATAATGGACATCAAGCCCAAAATTCCAAGTTTACTTATTTATGTAAATTGATATTTTTACTACATTACCCACACTTCCTTTTAAATTTTTTTTGTAGATGGACACAATACCTTTATTTTATTTATTTATGTGGTTCTGAGGATAGAAGCCAGTGCCTCACATATGCTAGGTGAGTGCTCTACAACTGAACCACAATCCCAGCTCTACCCACACTTCTAATTCTTATGTTTAAAAAAAGGAAAAAATCTATAAACACCTTTAAAGAACTATTTTATGCCTTTTAAAGAAGTGTGGTACTTTTTTCAGTACTCTTATCTCAAATTTAGGTCTATAAATTACAATGAAGCATGAAAGTGAAAAACAAACTTATAATCACTAAGATGTCTTTTCCCCCCCTGTACTGTTGATTGAACCTGGGACCTTGATCATGCTAGGCAAGGTTTATACCACTGAGCTACATCCCCAGGCCAAGACATGTGCTTTAATAACTTGTCTGTCACTTCATAGTCTTGACTTAGATTTGCCTGTGTAGATTAATTTGATGGAGATAGTTTCTATATTATTTGTGAAATTATACATGCTGCTTTCACTCCCTGGAATATTTTAATTCCTTCCTTTAGTCAATATCCTTCTCATCTTTCAAGACCCAGTTCAGAAAATAGAGCCAATATAAAGTTTTTCCTCATTCTCTTCCTGGAAGGACACACATTAGCCTCGTTCCATGGAACTTGATTTGTACTTTATTATATTTCACTTTCTATATTGCACTAAGACTATCTTTTCTACCAGAATGCAATGTAATTTCAGGTAGGATGGGTGCCTATTTCATCCTTACATTATTAAGAGTGCTAGTTGAGGGTCTTGTACAGAAGTACTTAATATTGAATAAAATATATTCTTTCCCTCTCTACTGCTGGCTTTAAATCATGTTCACTGACCATTTTTTTTCCCCAGAAAAGCATTTCCACATCAACTGCACATCCTTCTCGGCACTTATGAAAAAAATATTTGTAACCCCTCAGTAATTTTTTATTAGCAGTATACTATGCAAAATTTAGTACTTATTTGGATTTTGTGGTTCTCCTTAGTTTTTCTTAACTAATTTCAAGAATGAATTTTGTAAGTCCTCAATAAGATGAAAAATTCCCCTTGGGAGAAACCATGCCTTGCTAATTATTTGAGATCTCCCTGACCTAATTCCTCACCCTCACTAATCTGACAATCTCCATTCCCTCACCCTGTCACTCAAACCAAGGGCTGGCAAACTTTGGTCTATAGGTCATGTATTGACCCTCTGCCTGCTTTCACATAGCCTATTAAGATCAATATATTTTTGTACAATTTAAATGGCTAAAAAATAAACCATAAGAAGAATATATTTCAACGTATGAAAAATGATATAGAATTCAAATTTCAGTGTCCCTAAATAAAGTTTAGTGCTACATATCACTAACAATTTTCACTCACTCTTTGCGGACGCAATTAATAGCAGAGTTGAATAGCTACAACAGAAACTGAGTATGGCCCTCAAAGCTCAAAATATAATTTGACTCTTCATAGAAGAAGTTTACTGATATCTGCCTAAACATTTGCTGACATGTTGGTTTTGGGATCTGGTTGTCTTCTTTGGATCTCTAAAACTTTTTTTTTTTTAGATTTTAAAAAAGTCTTGGCTGAGATTTTACTCTAAATCTGAGAGGAAACAGGTTTTTAGGAATCTACACATCAACAAACTGGCTGTGCTCACTGTAGACATAATTACATATGGGTTTGTGTTGTATCCATGTCAATCTGTGGAATTTTTAAACTTTAGGATGTCTCAAATAATTTCAAAAAACTATTCATGCTTCCAAGGAATGTATAACAAGCACCCTTTCAGCAATGTGAAGCTACCTCAGAATGGTGACCACAGCTTTCATTCTTAAGATTTCAATTCTGCATCATAAATCTGAGGTCAATACCAAGATGGATTCCCTAAGACCATAGAGTAACATAGTAAGAGAGCTAAAGAACATAACCAAATGAGATATTTTATAAAAGAAAGGATAATTCCTCTGACCTCTCTGCATAAAAGGCTACTTAATTATCCATGAAACTGCTAAATAGAAAATACAGACCACTGACAAGGACTTGGACTTGGGTTAATAAATAGGATCTACTATAGACTTTTTCATTTTTAAGCTTTTGTTCCTCCACAGGAAATAGATGGAAGAAGAGGATAATAACCAAGACAGAATTCCACCTTAATTGCTCTAAACATTTGAGAGTTCAGTGCCTATCTGTTCAATTAACTTTACCTATAATAATCTATGATCTGGATTTGAAGTGCCCAGTGAATAATAGTCACACAATAAAATGTTTTCTCTTAAGTGACAGCAATGAAGCACTGTATAGGATAACAGCAAGAAAAAAGTATAAAAGAATTGTAACAAAGAAGGTATTCCTTTACCTTGTTCTTGCTTAATCCTCTCTCTTTCTGCATATCCTGCAGTCAGCATATTAATTCTGTTAAGCCACCTGCAAAAGCAAATATTAAAATCAGTAACATTGTAACTTGGCCCTCAAAGCTCAAAATAATATGTGGATCTTTACAGAAAAAGTTGACTGATATCTGCCCAAACATTTGCTGACATATTGGTCTTGGGATCTGGTTGTGTTCTTTGGATCTTTAAAACTTGATTGTTTATTAGCTAAAAATATTTACTTATCACAAATAGTTAAGATGACTAAGAATATGTGAAATAGTCCTACGTATAAGATGTGTTCTTTGCCACTCTTGATACACAGAGTTTTCAATGAGTCATAATTTACTGTAGTACAAACCGTTCTCACACCAAAGATGTTATTTCAATACAATAGTTGGGAAAAACTGTTAACATTTGTTCCAAGAAATATTTGTAATATAAAGGGCTCTGGGATGATCAAAGCCATATCTGTTGCTCCAAATGTAGAAGTACTTCAAATATTCCTGTTGTTCTATTTCATCAGAACAAATGTTCCTTTAGAGATACCTAAATAATATCCAGTCTAATTTATCCTGATAAGAGAGTTACAGACCTTGCCTGTGAAAATAATAGTCTTACTTTGAAATGACAGTTTTGATTAAACTCATTTAAATTTAATAATACAAGAAGAAACACATCTGGGAGCACTTCAGAAACTTGTCTCTAAATACAAGAGAAATTAGTTTTCCAAAGATACAAGGAACATATATAATAAACATGTATTTTAACCTCTGTCTGTATCTTGAAAATGTATTTTCATGAACAATAGTAAGTTAAAAATAAACCTTATCTATTTCCTCATTCAGTACTACTGCTATTGCCAATGTAGCAACTGCCTGAAGCAAAGCATGGTCTCTATCACTTTCATTTGTTCCATCAGGGCTCTCCCTATGTGCTTATATTTCCAATTATTTATGTTACATCAGATTAAAAAAATCGTACAATATTTAAACAAGGTTCTGAGGCCACAGTCTTCCACTGGTCATTCCTGAGCCATGACCCATAAGCTTTCCAAAATCAGAAATTGAAGAAGAACCTACCTTTCAAATTAGCTTGGGCAAGTATGGGATTACTAGCATAGTTAATATCATTAAATTGTAGAATAATCAATCTAGATATACTTTTAAGAAAAGGGTGTACTTGAGAACTTTTTCTCCTAAGATCATATCTTCCAATCAAGTGGAAGTAACATTATTTGCAGTGATTCATATATTTCACCATTTTTGCCAGTTGGTGTTAACTGTGCATCAGATACTAAGCGTATCTTGAAAAGGAATGAAAGTTATGTCTTTGATAGATGGAATCACATCTACAGAAATTTAAACTTTAAGAATAAGTCACTTAAAGCCAAATTTTATTTTGACAAAACCTACAATGTTATTATCACCTCAAGTATGTGTTGGAAATAGAGAAGGAACTGGAGTAGAAATGGAATAAAATACTGATCACATGAATGCAATAGCACAGAATATACACATACACTCCTGAAGATTATAAACTGTAAGTCACGAGGACAATTTCTTAGCAAATAACTGTTTTAAAATGACTAATTATTAGCAAAATATCAAATTTAAATCTAGTCTATAGCTCATTTGTAGTGAGAAAGGGGTTGAACTACAAGGCAGATCTTATCATTCTTGGGAAAGACTGTCTTGATGTTTTGGGAGTAAAAATCATGATTATATAACTAAAGCAAAATTCACCCATTGAAATATAATACATTGCCTTATATTTACTACTTTAAAAATCACTAACATTTAGTATTATTGCAATTCCAAAGAACAATGTGGTTCTTATGAAATAAATCAAGAAATTAAAAAGAAGCTTCCTCAAATTTTCAATTTAACACTTATTAAGTGCCTATGTGCTGAACAATGAGCTCTATTAAGGGTATTGAGCTTAACGTGGTAATATGGATAGTTGAGGACCTAGATCAAAGGTTTAAAATAATTAAAACACAAAATAAGAGTATCACACCTCCCCACCTGCCATGTGCATGTGAAAAACATTTTCATCTTGAGAACAAGGAGAAAAAGCTCTCCAAATTCCAATGGCCTAGTGTGAAATTTCAAGAATGGGAGTTATATAAATTAAGAGGAAATTATGGAAACTACAGGAGTTATTCCTTTCATTAAGTGTTCTCAACATCATCTTTGTCATTTCCTTAGATTCATATCTCCAATTTAGAAAAACAATGCTTGTACTCCAAAGTTTCAGAAAAACAATATTTATAAAACCATATTCATTCAGTGTGTTCAAGTATATTTATGAAGCTACACATTTTTTGTGCTTAAAAATACCATTTTTAGAGACATACAAAGAGAGGCACATGAAACAAGAGCCTAAAATATGTAAATGCATTGACAGTGAATACTTATGTAGCACTTGAAATTTATTTACCCCTCAAAATTCTTTCTTATTGGGGTAGTTATTATTCTCACTACTTATAAAAAGGTCAAAACCTGGCATAGGGAGTTAAGTTTCTTGCCTAAGTTTGCAGAACTAGTCCTGGTAAATACAGAATTGAAAAGGTTACTATCCCCACCTACCTATTGAACACATTGAACAATAACAGTCATGGAGAGGTCAAGTTCCTCATCCAAGATCACATAGCTAGCAAGTGGTTCAGCTGGCATTTAGACAGTCTGGTTCAAAAGTTACATAATTCTGATTACCATCTAATCTTGCCTCTCCTTTACTATAGGCAGTTTATATATGTAATATACACTGGTTGCTGAAATTATAGAAAGGGAGAAAAATTTGAATCTTAAACTCAAATTCTATAATTTTATTTTTTATTAAAAGAAATGGAGAAGTATAGGAAAGGGAAGAAAAGAAATTCTTAAAAACTACTGCTGAAATATGAAGCAGAAGGTGGCAGATGATGGGGGATATACATATGTAGGATACACACACACACACACACACACACACACACACACCCCTACCTTATGTTGTGCCTTTATTTGTATGTCTTTAAAAATGGCATTGTAAGCATAAAAATTATGTGTGTGTGTGTGTGTGTGTGTATTCCTCAAGTCATCAAAAAACCACAGAACCATCTAATCAGTTGGCTCTATGGCCCTGTCCAGTGATGTATGAAAGGTGACAGAAAGAAGTACTAACTTTGCTTAGGCCTGAATTATTGAGATGAATGTTCTATCAAAAATAACACTTAAAAATAGCTGAGAGGATTTTGAATGTTCCCGAAATAAAGGAATCATAAATGTTTAAGGAGATGGATATGCTAATTACACTGATTTGATCATTATATATATCATGCTATACTCTATAAGTATTATAATTATTATGTATCCATTAAAAATAAAACTTTTAAATTTTAAAAAATAGCTTTTTGTGTAATTTTGGGCCATCTATGAATAAATTTTAAGACATTCTTAATATGAACTTTAAAAAGTCTGTTTTTCTTGTGGTGGAATTTCTATGGTCTATATGTGGATTCTAGCATGCCTTTGGTAAACTTGACAAATAATCAATGAATAATCATTCATTTTTTTTTCTTTTGCTGAGCAGGGGATGGAACCCAGGACTTTGCACATGCTAGGCAAGTGCTCTACCATTAATCTACATTCCCAGCTAGAGTCTTACTGTTTAAATGCAATTCCTTATGTATTATTATTATGTAAAAAATAAATTTTATATATATTTTAGGCTTACATTATGATGTTATAGGTAAGTACTATTCTTTAAAATTAGGTATGGCCATAATGAATTCTATCTGGGTCCATTTTATTTTAAACTAATTAACCTAGAAACTTCAGTGACATTCTCTAAGCATTACTGTAGATAACCTAGGACTCTAGGGCTAAATGACTTTATAACTACTTTGAAATTTAAGTAATACTTTACCTGTTCATATCATCAAGATGTTCAGCAGCAAAATAAAAGCTTTTGATTTTAGGATGACAGGCTTTGAATGCACTGCAAAAAGAAACAAGGTATATTTATTTTATTAAAAATTGGGAAATAAGTTCAAACCAAATATTTTTATGAGTAAAATTACCTCAACATCTAATCTGAGTTTATATATATATATATATATATATATATATATATATATATATATATACACACACACACACACACTTCTACCATGATGACAGAAGTCAGTAAGAAAATCAATTTTCTTCCCACAAAACTGCTTTCTTATTACTTCAATGTGAAAGCATTAGATGAGCAACCTATAATTTAAAAGCTGGAAATTTAAAAAAAATTTTCCCTTCTCTCCCTCTCCCAAAATAAAATCCACTTACTATTTCTTGCGACATTCACTGGCTCTATCAATTTTAAATTCAGGCAGACTGATGAATCCTTCTGCTTTTTCATCCTAAAGAAGCAAGATTCTTGTTTAGGCTGTTACACAAAAAAGTTTGAGGCTAATGATACTGCATAACTATGCCTTAAGTATCTATACTAACAAAATTATTCATTCAATTCCTTAAATTTGACATTTGAGATTATAATTCAGTGACATTCTCTAAGCATTACTGTAGAAAACTTAGAATTACTATAGAAAACTCATCTGTTATATCCTATAAATTTAAGGTATATTTTGAACATTTAGAATACTAAGGATAGAAAATTATTTAATTCTCAATGTGCAACATGTCTATTAAGAAATTTTCTGGGGTTTGGGGTATAGCTCAGTGGTGAAACACTTGCTTATTATGTGCAAGGCCCTGGGTGAATCCCCAGCACCGCCCCACTCCAAAAAAGAGAATTTCCGGTCAGAGTGTATGTATACTTTTATAACATACAAAACAACTGGAGTTCACATTTGCAATACACATTTTTTCTTAAAGTTTTAATTCTAACATATAAAATATAGAGATGCATACTGATTCAATTTCTCTTCTGTCCAAAGATTCTCTTAACAAATCTGAATAAATAAAAATGTTATATAATGATGAAACCATCATTATATAACATTTGTGTTGTGTATTATTTTTGGTGTGCAAATGAAATAGGCCAACTTGTTTTCAATTATCTGGCTTTGGATATATATTATATTTATAAACATCATTTTTCATGTAGAATTGAATAAAATCCATAAAATCCTTCTCTCTTTAATGTTGTATTTACAAAACTCACAAATTATCCAAAATCCTGTGTGATACGAATGATTCTATCTAAGCTAAAACTATCTTTGGCTAACCCTTTAATCACTGTCTCTCTTTTCCTGCACATGTCAAAGCTCTTTAGACTTTTACTCCCCTAAATTCTTATCTTGATTTGTGTGATACCAGTCCATAGCTCCTTATATATCAAGTTCAAGTGAGATTACATTTGCATTCATGATCTCAAAGAACAGATTCTCAATTCTTTGTATGTGTGCATGCATGTGATTTTTGAACTTCTATACAAAACTAAAAGTTAGATGCTATGGGCAGTGATTAAAGTGTGTGTGTGTGTGTGTGTGTGTGTGTTTTATAAATAAGAAAATGATGAAACATTTTCCATCTTTGAATATACTTCCAGTCTTGGATTAAAGACAAAGCTTTCAAATCATGTTCTCAACTTTCATTTCCATGTCACATTATCTTTGCTGTCCTTCATTTAACAATTTAAAATTTTGAATAATTTAAGTATTTTGAGGTAATTATTGCTTCCCTGTGATATGATAAGTAATTTTTATATTTATTTGACAAAGATCACATCAAGGTATTTCTTGCAGAGTGTGCTATGAAACTATTCACTCATATCTCACAAGGCTAACACAATAACTTGTTGATTGAAACACAGCTACTGGATTGAGGGTATAGCTCAATAGGTGGTGTAGAGATCTTGCATAAGACCATGGATTTGATCCCAAGTGTCACAAAAACAAACAAACATGAAAAAACAGCTAATATTCAATAAAAGAGGCCACAGTTTGAAAGATAGAATATAATCCAGTACCATAGCAGACAAATCTACAAATGATTTTACAATGAAGAAAAACAGAGAGATACTATATCTTGATATTACTTGGTAGGCAAGCAAAAAGTATTTAAAATATCCATTAAATAAAAATGTAGGTAAAATTGTAGTTTGTTTATTCTACCTAAAATAAGACATGCTTAGTGAAATAAGTGATGTTTCAGGTAATTGTGAAACTGCCACAAAAATATCAAAAGAACAGAAAATTATCAAATCTTTTAACAGGTAGTACAGATATTTATTTTAAATAGAAAAATGTATTATTTCAAGATTTTACAAATAAAAGGTCAATTTGAAAAATATCACTGGTAACATATTACTTGAGCACTTTTTATATGCCAGATATTGTTCTAAGTGGGATTTACATTCATTGATTCATTTCATCAATATGATAGCCCAGTGAGATATTCATTATTACTCCCATTTTGGAGATAAAGAAACTGAAGCACAATAACTCAGGTGGTGTAATTCCTCAGTCTACATTCCTAACCTTGACATAACATAACAGCCTGTTTGGGGAACACCAAGTTCTTTAGACACAGTATGCTCTAATCACAGGCATAATGATAATGTTCAATTATATTTCAACAAATAATCTTCAAAGGCAAATTAATAAATGTCAACATAATAGTATCTGAAAAGACTATTCAAACAATATTATATTAAATCATGTATATTTTTATGATAGCAGAAGTCATTGCTTAAAAAACCACTGATAACCCTGGAAATAAATCTGTTGTACTGAAAACCTCCAGGAAATTATAAGAACAATTTAAATGTGTTATATATGTTCCCTCTACTCTCAATTCCTGTTGAAATAAATACTTGCAGATTTTCAAAACTAGTCTAGAGGTTCATTTTTAATATCTTATTATATTAATTTTATTACTAAAGAGCTTCTCCATTCAAAAAAAATTGGGAAACAGAAAAAAATGTAAAATTTTGAACAAAAGCAAGACATTTTGGTATTAAATTAGCATGTTTAATCCTTTTAGTTAAGCTACTACTTGAATCAGCTGGGTGTTTTAGTTAGATACATAGAATTTTAATATACTTTTGTGCTTCAGATTCCATATTAGAATAATTGGGGCACTCTCCTTCCAACACCTCCAAATGAAATCATTTTAAGATAATGTATTGAAAAAGAACTAGCAGAATTCCTAAACTGACTTTAAGGCAATTTTAATTTCAAAATGTAAGCTTCAAAATGGTGCCACTTTTAGTTAAAGATAGAGAGTGGATAAGAAAACAAAGTGTGCTTTATCTTACCTCTTCATTAATATACCAGTATAGGGATGCATCCTTGAGGACAAACCAATATTTCTTCCATTTCTGTGAAAAATAACTCTTTGCATCTTTCTTTTTCCAAAGCCAGCCCTCACAGTCACCACGACCCAGATCCTTGCAAGAAATCCGTCTTTTGCTCTTGCCTGCTATAGGACCTAAAGATAATAGTGAGTGAAAATTCACTTTAAATTTTGAAAAAGGTATAAAAATAGAGGATTAATTTACAGGTTCTAAAAATAAGTCTGGGTATTTAACTTTAAAAGTTATCATTTTCACATGGTATTAGAATAGAAAAATAAAGACATCTTTAATAGCTTTTCCTCCAAAGAAGTGACACATGATTAATTAAAAAATGTGTAATCCCAGTCTTAAAACTTGTTGTGACCATTTGCCATAAAAAGTACCTTGTTTGGTAACTGAACAGAAGGAGAAGCTAGTGTCAGCAGCTCTTGCCCTGAGGCGGGGGGGGGGGGGGGCTGTGCTTTTCCAAACCACACTGGGCTCAGGCAAGAGAAGGATGGATTAAATGTGCTCGTGATAATCACAGCACAAACGAAGCAGGTAAAACTTTCATTTTCTTTTCTTACCTTTGTTTTTCTTCTTTGATTTGTGCTGCAGAGAGGACTGCTGAAACGTCTGAAATCAAAGACAGGGTAGAATGTTATCTGATACTCAGGATGCAATCCATAGCTCCAGTAGGCTACAACAGCTCTCAAGGGCTAAATGATTAATGATCAGAGAAAGCACCTTATTTTTCCCCAAAGCCCCAAAATAAATTAATACGTATCATGTCACTTAGATTTCTAATTCTTGTAGGAAGTAGGAGAGGATATTATCTTTACCTTTATTTTGTAGGCAGAGAAATCAGGGTATGAAACACTGGTAAAACTAGGGGCTTTTTTACTTTACTCTTTCAATACCTTTTTAGGGGTTTGTTGTGCTTTCTCAGACAATATCTCATTTGATTCTCATAAAAATCTCATTAAGTAGACAAGCAAATATTACTTTCATGCACTAATATCCCATTTCCTTAGTCTCTAAATATTATAGCTCTTAGATCAGTATTTTTTCTCATGCCTAATTCTATCAGAATAGTTGGTGACAAATCTTCATGTAGATGATATCATCCTCATCTCTGATTTCCAATATTTATCTCACCATTTTTCAGCTACCCACCCCCATGACCATGTTTGATATCTCAAGCGCATACCAGCTACTGCCTGTAATACCTATGTTTTACATAGTCCATCCCACCAATTTAAAAATATTCATTATATTTTCTAATTAATTGACTATACCACCCTTTTATGCCTGTATTTCTCTCCTCTTATTTGGTTTCCATGGGACATCATTATCATGGTTCCACTGAACTATGCTCCCACCTATCTTTTACTCCATGCTATATACCTGAATAGCTTAGCGTATCTGGAGAAAAACCTAAAGCTGTAGTGACTAGTCTAGCTTTTGATCAATGACTATAAATCATCAGTCAAACTTCTAAGCTAGATAGTTTACTGGTGTAACAAGATTAATTACATTTATATAATGTTAGACAAATGGAAACAAAGATAGCATATATGCTTTTAATTCATAGATAGTCCTTCAAAATGAATTTTAGGTAACAGTTTCTTCATAAATATATACCTATAAGGGACAAATGAATTTTGTTTATACAAAATTTTGTGATCTTGGTTTTATACTGTAAATTAATGTTTTTTAGTATCTTTATTGAAAATAGTATTCATTTAAAGAATAATCTTCTCATTCTGTGTATGATTTACACAAGTCTAATGAATATTAGGGATGGGTACATTATGTAAAGATAAGGGTCAGATAATTTTCTAATATATAATGTAACCCAGAAATAATAATCACCCAAGTATCAAAGCAATATAAATAAGTATATATGTGGTATTTGTTATATCTCTCTATAAAAAACAGTATTTTCATAAAGATCATGATTGCAGAGTATAATCAGTATACCTATTCTCTCTCTCTCTCTCTACACACACACACACACACACACATATAAATCTCAACCTTTGTAGCATTCATGACTATAAAAATTCATAATCAATTTTTGAAAGAAAGCATAAAAGATAACCCATTACTCTGTGTTGATTTTCTTGAGTGCACTTTGTTTCAAAATAATAGTTTAAATGATAACTCAGGCTACTGTGCTTAATGTAGTTAATTTACATATGGTTATTTTCCCTAAATTGTTTTGCTATAAAATTACTGATTAGGATTTTTCCTTTTGTGTTTCCACAAGTAATCATTATAGTTTTACAGCTCATTATTTTGAAAAAATGACAAAGATGGGGGTGGTTTGTTTTTATGAAACTACATGGGTAACAGACAGCTTGGAAGAATTGGGTTATATAATCTACCTCCTATGCATTTTGTATGCTATCCTTAGAATTTGAAGGTCTACTTAAAAATCTGCACAAAACACCATTATGCTCTCCAGGTTTCCTTTTTAACAAGATTATCTTGTCTTTCCCTATAAACATATGGTATTTTCATAAAGATCATGATTACAGAGTGTAACTGGTATACATATTGTTGAAACCTGGCAACTTCTAGGTACTCAATACAAATTTAATCATTTGATGGAATAAAGCCTTAAATATCTTTTGTAAATACTGTAAATATTACAATGGAGTTATTTTAAGAGAGATTTCCTTATTTTTCCAAGTGATTTGATATTTTCAACAATGAAAAAGTTAACTGAATTATAGTTCTTCGAAGGTAATGAGAAAAAAGCATTAAAAATTTACATTTAGGAAGAAAACAGTTAATACAGTAGGCCTGAGGATGCTATCTTAGAAGGATGTATTAGGTTGGCCCTTGGCTAGCATCTGGGAACTTGGCTGGTAAACAGTTCTCTATACTAATATGAAGCTTCCCTAAATGATGAATATATTTCCCACAGAGGGGTAATGAATACCTGCTTTCTTGCTGGAAAGTCTGAAATTTTCGTGGTTTACAGATAAAGGATGCCTGTGTGACCAATTCAATATAATGTTTGGGTGTTGAGTCTCTAATGGGTTTCCCTGGATAGAAACACCACAAATCATGTGGTTGCTGGGGAGAGAGTTTGCTCTGTGTGGCCTGTCATGGGACAGGGAGAGCATAGAAAACTTGCACATGGATTTTTCCAGATTCCAGAGCTTTTCTCTCTCTCTTTTTAAAAACTTGTTGAGTTTTATATCACTTACTATATCTCTCTAATAATCTTTATTGTGAATACAAATACGTGTTATATCCTATGAGTTCTAGCAAATTACCAAACATGGGGTTGTCTTGAAAAACCCCCAGTCTCATATTATAAATGATCCTTTACAAACTTATATTAGAAATTGTTCATTATTACACACACAAATAGCTCCTGATAGTTAAGGTTTCCTCATGTCATAAGCAGTCACATTGTTATGAAAACCTTGAGGTACAAATTTATGATAATATACTGTTTTTAGTAGAACTGAAGGAGTTATTCATTCTGATTGACAGAACTGAATTTGTACAAAACATTTTAGTTTCTAAGGATATTATGCAATATTTAATAAGAGCAAGGCATTAAGAACTCACTATAATAAATAACAAGCTGATCATTATAAGGTTCTAAAATAACTAAAAAGGAGTCCTTGAATCTTTGCATTAATGACAATATTTCTCATGAGAACGAAAATTCATAATGCATCTTATTTTTCTACTTTTTGTATTAGTTTCAGATCACCCTTCATCCAGGTTCATGCTCAAGTAAGTATATCTTTTAGAAGGTCTGGTACAACAATCTGTCATTGGCAAATTCTTCTAGGTTTTCTTTCTTTTATGTTTTTATTAGTATATTATAATTATACACAATAGTGGGGTTCGTTGTGACATAGTCATATGTGTATGTAATTTGCTACAATTAATTCCCCAGTTCTTCCCTTTCACTTTCTTCTTTCCGCCCCCTTGATCCTCTACCTCACCTCTATTGATCTCCATTATATATTCATGAGATTTCCTCTTTGTACATTTGAAAATCCTTTACTTTTTAAATAACATCTTAGCTGTATACAGAATTCTGAGTTGAAATAATTTTCTTTGACAATTTGAACATACTACTATTTTGGCATTTATTGTTGCCTTAAGACATCTGTAGTTATTGTCATTTGTTATAATCTGTCTTTAATCTCTGTAGCTTTTAAAATATTTTTCTCTTTATTTATAATATTCTGCAGTTTCACTGTTATATTTATATGTCATAATTTAACTTAATTAACCTTATATAGCCTTCATTAGGTTGCACTGAAAGTTTTTTTTTCTTTCATTCTGGACATTCTCAATCATTATCTCTTTGAATGGTCTTTTTTTGATAGCCCTCTTTAATTCTCTAGATGTATGTTATCACCTGTATGTATGTATCACCTGTGTGTCTTTCATATTTTTTTAACCTTTTCATACATTTGCAATCTCTTTTAGGTAAATCTATTCTACTATCTTCCAATTTCTTAATTCTCTGATTTTTATCTCACCTGAAGTTAATCTCATCTACAATGTGTTTATTTCACTTACAATATTTTATATTTACAGGCTATCTAGTTGGTATTGGCTTTTTTGAATATCCACTTTTCCTGATCTTTGTTTTATTTCAAAATTTATTTTAAAAACTTTTGTGAATTTCTCATGTTTGCATTTAGCATGGAATCATCTAATTGATTGGCTCATTGTCTTTTTTATAAAAGCATTAATTTTCACTAGACATTTTTGGATTTTTAGCTGGAGTGCAATGTTTTTCCTGGGAGGAAGTTTCTTTTTGCATTCACAACTCCCTGTCTGAAATCTGTTGTCTTCTGCCTCCATTCCTAGGGTGCCTTCATCTTTTAAATGATGACATGGGTTTCTGTCACATCCCTGAACTCCAAGTGGGAGATACCTGACCAATGGTTCTAAATATACATTTTTCTTTGTTCCCTGCTCAAACACAGGAACTTAGCTTTATATCAGTCTTACCCCTGGTTATTATTTATCTTTATGCAACCTCATTACTCACAAATGAAGACACTGTTGTTTGTCTTCACAGTTAACTTCACTCAGTGAGTCAATCATGTTTCCCAACATTGCTGAGGTCCATTTGTTCTCTGATACTCATTAGAGACAATCCCCAGCCATTACTACCTCTTTCTGTACTAAGACCTAGCAGATACATGGCTTTAGTTCCCAAATATCACTTACCATTTTTGTTCTGGTCCTTAGAGAGTAGATCTAATATTTTTTAACCATCAAACTATATGTTTTCTTTGTTTTATTGCTATATATTTGGTGTAGAATGAATGAAAGGGCTTGCACAAGTACACAAAAGTGAAGGAGTGTTTTTTTTTTTTGTGTGTGTGTGTGTGTGTGAATTTAAAGTTTATAATACTTATTGGCCACCAAAAATTCGTTCTTCTACTAAGCAGTTTTGAAGGCCAATTCTCTTAGAAAGCATCTCCTTATCTTATTTCCTAAACCATGTTTCATTAAATATTTTTAATACTGTCCTAGCATTTTCTGTTTATTTTAGTGAGTATCTGGGCAAAAGTTCTTCAAACATTTTAAGAATGATCTACAAACTCTGATCTTAAGCAACTTATAAATTCATATAATCA